CGACTGGGATTGAACCCAGGCCTGCTGGGGTGAGAGGTAATCATGCGTACCACTACACCACCGGCGCTGCTATCTAGAAGACAATGAACAACAAGTTTGGTTTACGTTTAGTAATTTCCACATAAACTTCAAATGGTTTGTGAGAAGCCAGTTTCTTACAAAATGAGTTCAAATTTTGGGAGGCTAATCAAGACCCGATTTGGGACCGTTTGTCAAACGAAAATGTCAAATTTTGCATCAGTCTAATATCTATATCCTTTCAACATCATGTTGACGAGAGTTAACTGTAGCCACTTTTGTTTAGGTCATCCGTGACCTGTCCGAAATTGAACTTATTTCCGGAGATTACCTTCAGCGTAACCACTTGTTGTTGTCCCAGATCGAATACATTATAACTCCAATAAAATGCATGCATTTTCATATCAAGGATGGATGAAAGAAATTGATCTATATAGCGAAATTGTTTTTGTTCCGGAGTACCAACAAAAACGTACAAGACCGATGAGATCAACACATATTTGAGTGGGATTTCACTGAGTAAGCAAAATATTCCTCAATTTTTCTCAAAAATTTGCTGGAAAGCCATTCATGTATCTTATTTATCTGCGTAAAAGTTCAGTAGCAAGAAGAGACTTTTGGATTTAATTTGCAAATACAGTAATTTGCTTTTGCTAGCCTCCTTTTTGGGAATTTTTTATAATGTTCTACGAAACTATGTGCTTTTTCAGTGGTCTTATTGCATCAAAGTAAATCTTAATCATCCATCTTGAGGATGAATGAGAAAGATTTGTAATAACGGTTATGTGAAATTATTGAAAGATAAAATTCTGATTAATTACGAAATATTGTCCTGCAGCATTAGGCTACACATAATAATCGGTCGCAGACGCGATTCCATTACAGTATGTACAATAAATGCCGCACAACACTTGATGTATCCTTGAAATAATTCACAACCATTGAAGCATCGCCAACCGATGATGCTACACATTGGATCTGGAGAATTAGTCGATAGGGTGGTGTTCCAGAAATAGTGGTGTACCTATAGTTGCGGTATGGGGCTTATGGCGCAATAGTGGTGGAAATCTAAAGCAATTGAGTCTTGACAAATAAAAGCAATTAAATATAAAATATAACGGAATACTATTAATTTTCTTTAAGATTTTGACTTTAAATTTAGCTGCGGTAGTGTTAATGTTAGTGGAATCCAATAGAAATCAATGCATTCCACTATTATAGAAAAGTTAGCTACTACCACAATTCCTGGAACAGTTTTCCAAATAATGGAGGACAAGTTTTCCAAAAATGTATTCAAATTAATCACATTGTAAAGTTTTACTAGTAAAATAGGGGTTAAAAGCAATAGATTGACGTATAACAATTTTGAGCAGATCGTGTATTTATGTTTTGATAAATTATTGCTTTTGATCATTCATTACTGGCTCATCTACCCTAGTCGAAATTTTAAAAATAAGATGGGTGAACATGTGAACAGTTCTTATTTCACCTCTAGAAATCTATCTATAAAAAATTGAATGATATCGATCGAATTTTGCTGAGTTGTATAGTTGCATGAAATAGATTAGTGCTCGATTTATTTGATTTTCTGGGTTGACATTTTTCCTTTTTTTTTTTCTTGATTTGTTTTCCGTTGATCTTGTTTTCCTTATAGAGTTACCATAGCTACCAACGCCAGGGAGGCAGCTCCCACATCTCCTATCGACCCAAAGGAGCAACGGCTTTACTTCCCTTCCGAAGGAAGGCGCGATCAGAGATGTTATGCTTCAGGCGGCGCCGACTGAGACTGTACCCAGGCCTTTTGGGATGAGAGACTATCACGCTTACCACTACATCACCTACGCCACTACTATGAAACGTGATGAACTAGGCTAGAAATCACGGTAATGAAAGGGCAAAAAGCTGTTGAGATTTCGGTAAGAAATTATCGAAGACCACAATAATTTCTGAGTGTGGAAACGAAAATTTAGCGTCGATGACAGATAATCCGCTAATTGAAGGAATTGGTTTCCAATATCGATAAATGATTAATAGATCTTGAGATAACCGTTGAATATCTTAAAACTAGGTAATTTGCATGAGTGATACTGAACTATATTAATGTATGTATTTATTTATGTATTACTGTCAAAACACAGATCCTTCCATTCCTCTACACTATTTATGTGAATTAATTTCTGTTATTCCTTTATATTGCTGATGATTACGATAACGATCCTTTAGTTCATACTTAGCTTTTATAAAACCTTCGAATATAAAACGGTTGATGCATTTTCGTATGGGTTGTAGTTTTCAACAAAGTTATTTTGCACATAGCTACCGCACATTGTTATTTTGCACAGTTTTTCCAAATAAGAATCTTAGGTTTTGAGATCTTTAGCAGGCCGGCGCCGGCGAAGTAGTGGTAAGCGTGACTGCTTTCTCACCCCAATGGGTCTGGGATCAATCCTAGCCGAGGTCGGTGGGATTTTCCTGAGGCATAAAGCCGTTGGTCCCGGCCCGGTGTGTGTTGAATGGGTGCGATCAGTGCGGAACAGGCAGATTCAATGAGTTATTTTCATATGAATATGAACAGCCATCCGCCTTATGAGTCAGTGCCTCTTGAGCGTCTGAATGATTGAGAAGTAAACGAGTCACTGATAGCAGAGCACTCAGTCAGTAGCTCAGTCTGCACGTTTATTCTTGCGTGATGATAACCAATCCTTGGTTTGAATGACTGAGCGTACATTTTCTATGGAAAAAATGCCTCAATTACATGCTGTGCAAGCGAAGGCCAGCGATGTAAGCCGCCTGTTTGTGAGTGACTGAATGTTTTTGTTGGCTCTTTCATTGCCTCGTATTTTACCGTTTGGTATATACTGTCTGGATAGAGCAATTAATTGAATAGAGCAGTGCTTTCACACTCAGCCTAAACAGTCAATAGTTTTACGCTCTGGGTGCGATATCCTACGCAGGTGTGGAAGCTGCCTTCCTGTACATTCGATTACCGTCAATAGATGGCAATCGATTTGCGTCGGTAATTGGCTCTAGATTGTGGAATAGAGACCGACGTTAGAAAGGAAAGAAGAGATCTTGAGCAATTAAGCAAATTAATATTTACCTTTTTTTTAATTCTTTATTATGATAATTTTTAGCCACTTCTTGGCTAGGTCATCATCAAAGTGAATTTTTATCATCTTTTTTTTTTGTAATTTTAAATTATGACCCAAATTCAGGTTGCAACCAAACAAGACATAACATTCGCTAATTTATTGACCTTTAATTGAAAAGTCTATTAGCTTTACTCAACTAAATAGATGCAAAATTACATGAAGATCAATCTAAAGCTTAAAGCACTTAGACGGTTATGAGTAGTGATGGAAAAGTGCGCGAAAACTCACTATGACTCTAAATCTTAAAAGATAACTTTTTTCTGTTTTATTTAAGCATTCCGCTAACAACCCAATTTCATTACTTCACTATGACTCGCGAACTTTTCTCTTGGTGAATGTCGTTAAATATCGCGAACTTTTCCAACACTGGTTTTCAGCCTCGGTTTTGAGATTGGAAACAAGAAAAGGTTCGGACCAGGCTTCTGATACATGGTCAAATATCAGTATCAACGCTTATTATTGTCACTGAGAAGTCCTATTTCAGGCTTCAGAATTTTTTAAAATACGGAAAATCACAATTTAATGAGCATTCATGTGAGACTTATTTTAATTGATGAGAGAGTGCATCCTCGAAGAGATCTCAGAACTCTATACGGAACATCACAATTGAAAAAGGAATCTTTTGAGGCCTCTTTTAATTGATGAGATGATCACACTTGAATGAGGTGTGTATTCATGATTTAATTGTATGGAAAACGAACAGGGCAGATGTACCACTTATGGCAATACGTTCCAATTATAATGTGTGGTACATCTACCCTACATGTTTACTTTTCCATAGTAATGAGGTAAAACGACATGCACTAAACAAAGGACACGGACATATCACTAAAGAACAATATGTTGGTCGCAGTGATTATGGGTGGGAAAAAAAGCTTAAAGTTCTGAAATAAGTTAAAGGACACTTAGGGTGGTTCATAAACTTCGTAGACGATAATTGGTGAATTGAATAATGAAAACGTTGAACAAGCTATTGACAACTGTAGATTTGCTGTGACATACTGAGTTATGCTATAAGTATCGTAATTGCAATTGAAAAAAGTGTAACGTTTTCGTGAGCATTACTGAATTGGAGATATTGATGTCAAACCGTCGATCATATTTTTTTTATTCATACAATTTGGTCTCAAGAAATGCTGTATTTTCTGTAGACTTCTGCATGTTGTGAGGTTATAAGACTTATACGAAGATCCTTAATTAAGATTGTCCAAAAAGTTTGCAAACAGTTTGCCAACAGACCTTTTTTAGTATTTTTTTTTCTTCGCATCACAATCACATTTCAATATTTATATGATTTTTGTCACATAATGGCATGGTGTATAAATTTGATTCAGATCAGGATAGCACTCAACGTTAATAGTATTTAATGCATTAGTAAACTAATGCAATTAACACTCACAAGTTACAAATATATTTTTTTTCGGTCCATTTGTTCCTGCTCACTATGTATTGTCGTTCAAGTTGGACACTGGAAAACCCACACGCGACATTCGATTTTACCCTCGTTCTGTACGTTAAACATAACGTCGGACATAGTGCGCTGAATAGCGCATCATTGTGCAAATACAGCGCACTATGTCCGACGTTATGTTTAACGTACAGAACAAGAGTAAATTCAATTGGCGGGTGTGGGGTTTTCCGGTTTTCAACTGAAACGATAATAGCATAAATCAATCCTCTATACTGGGTCGGCTTAAGCTGGCTATTTAGATTTTCATACACTCACATTCGGCTGTACATGTCCAGCAATTGGATTTCATCAATAAATCAACACTACCATAACAAGATCTAATCCATATTTATCAACCGTCACTAAGGAAATCAATTTACCAGCTGTATCAACTGTATCGGAAGAATCAATCACGTTTTTGCTGCCGTTGTATCTCCTTTTTTCTCCGCTTCGCCACAACATACACCTTGCACTGAACGAGTCTCGCGGTTAGCAATAAAATAACACGAATAAAACAATAAAAAAAATGAAAAGATGTCGGCTTTTAACCTGACCACGAAGAGTAGCACAATGTTAACAGGTAGACAGGCCGGCGTCTAATGAGAAAAAATATCGAACGACAATGGCTTATATAAAATATGCCACCTGTTGATGGGTTCGCGACGATCGAGCTCCGATCTTCGAAGGTGACCACACCACGCACCGGCTTGCAGATCGTGGTTGCACGTTGTAGGTAGGTGCCTATATACTCGCGTCGCCGTACTACATCTCAGCAGGCTGTGGTGCTCGTGTGGTCAAGCCAACCGTCGCTTCACGGCACGTCGTCGTCGTCTTCGTTAGTAGTTATCATCGCCGGAATGATCGGAAATCTTAAGTGTCTCGGTTCGGTTTGTTCTGATCTTTAGGATTCTGAAGCAACTCATCCATTCAAAGTTGCTAGTATTCCCTTTCAATTTAATATTATTCCACAAATCTGAAAATATATGGTTTTTTATTACTTTGCGGTGTTTTAACCAGTTGGCATCACTGTTCTCCATGTGAACGAAGTAGCTGGTTCGAATGAATGGCCAGAAAAATGAGTGTGACATTATAGCGCAAAAAGTAGTTTAACCACTGTTCGACCGAGCTTCATATTCGGTTAGTAGTGGAGGAAGAACGAAGGGGTCATCAGGCTGGACTGGTTTTCCGAGCGGAAGAAGCAGAACCGCGATGAGTTTTGGATAATGATTCAAGGGTTTCCTAGCGCAGTGGAAGGAAGAAAAAATGGCCTCCTGAATGATGCACTAGTTTTATTAATTATTAAGCTTGTTGATTGGAAATAACATGCTGGATGTTCGTAGGATAGTTTCTGATTGTACTTCACCAGATTCTGTAGCTTGCCATTTTTTTTTCGATGATCCTATTGCTGGATAACAAATCTTTGATTGATCCTTTTTTATACCATGTATCTAACTGTAATCGTCGATAGCCGATAAACATAAATCCACGTGTTAATCACATCAAAGACGAGATGGATGGTTTGAATTGCGTTGAGGATCTTATCGGGATTTCTTCGTGAACTAAATTGAGAGTATGCGAGGAATTCCAGCTGTGAAGAATATAGCAAAAAAGATGAAGAAAATAATAAGTAACATCCAATTATCTACTTAGCTTAAAGCACTCTTGTTTGAAAAAAAAAATTGTTTTTGTTTTTGTTTGTGATTGTCTTCTCAAGTTTTAATTGACATTTAATATTGACGTCATCATATGGCTCGCTGCGCGTAAATATTATTTATATTTAATCACATTCATATTTTTATTATTGTCAAAACAGGCGACCGTTATTTCGATGAGGAAAAACAATTGTCGTCACTAATTCAAATCAAAATCACTTTCAGTCAACAGTGATCGATGCCTTGACCTTCCTCTCGTTTGGCGTCAAACAACGGTTCGACATGATAAATTGATACAAGAATTTCAGCTTGCGATTATGTCAGATATTTGATTCCTGATGCGGTATTGCGTATTTGACTAATGGTATCACCGTTTATAATACAATTTAAAATGGACGAATTGCTTCAGTTGAAAAATGGTCTCAGCCCAACAACAACAACAACAACAACAACAACAACAACAACAATCTTAATTTAAAAAATATAAATTGTCGACATCACCGGACGGTTTTAATAAGTTTTTGCGGTAATCTGCAATCTGGTGATAAGCAGCATTAATGCAAGCTCGAAATGTTGGGATACAATCTGAATTTGCGGGAGAACTTAAAACTAAGTATGGGAAAATATATGGGAAACGGAACGACACTATTAATTTACGTGAAACAAAATAATATTTTTAGGTTGGAAAGCGTCACATTTCTGAAACATAAAAAAATAATCCCAGGAATGGCCGTAGGGTCCATCTTGCACGTCTGGGAAGTACAGTTCTCCACCATTTTAAGAAAATCTCAACCAAAATCGAAATTGGAACTCAAATAATAGAAGTAGGCTCGCTAGCGTTTCTGGATCTCAAAAATTGCCTTAGGATGTACACTTTAAAGATCTGTGCTGCTCGTCTATGATATTATTGCAGTGTTCCTTTGGAAATTTCGTAAACATATTTCCGTATAGCAGGAAAGGTCATAGGAACTATTCTGTAAGGTTCTGTGCCTATCTCCTTTTTCTCTGTGTTGAATAGGTTTTTCATATTCTTGAAGATGTTCATGAAAGATAAAGAGTGGTTGTACTCGATGTATCGGTACACGTATCAAATATTGGCAGATGTACAGATTTTTGTTTGAGTTTTCTACAAAAAAAATATATTTAAGTTAAATTTGGGACATTCATTGAATTTTGTTTAGGATGTCAATACCATAAAATCCACCATAAAAGACCACTATTTGATTGAACGTCATGAACATTAGTTATAAATTGATGCTAAAGTGGATGATTTTCTGATATGATTAATCGACTGCTTTCAGGTAGTGCTGGATTTTGGATCCGTGAGAAGGGGGTGGGGGGGTAGTCTAGCTATTCCCTATATGATCTGCTATCGAGATTTTAATTTGAAAAAAACCCGAACTTTATTTTTCAAAAATCATTTCGTAACAAAAAAAATTAAAAAAAGTAGAAGGGTCTGTGCCTAGGGGCTCGAACGGAAGCTTGACGTAGGACCGCTAGTGAATGGAACACGTGTGAAGAGCATTTAGTTCTTTTAATTAATCGATCATCTTTTATCTTAACTCTTTCCGTTTTTGATTTGTAAATTTGCGTACCAAAGTTGTAGTATTTTTTTTTTTCAAAGAGAAAGTTGATGAAGAGAATCGATCAAAATCACTTGCACCCATGCTTCCAAGTTTGGTTACAAAATTATCAATCTGGAGAGCATTTTGTGTGGTCGTTGGGGTCGTATGGTTATCAATATGAACAGCGCAGATAAATTATATTCCAACTCTTTACTGTAATAAGCTTGTTGGCCGCTTATGCTTGGCGTGTTCAGAGTAGGTGACAGCATCAAGGATCACATTTTCCAGGAACACCTTAAGCACACCTTGTGTTTTCTCATAGATCAGGCCGGAGATACTTTTTTTACACGGGTTTTTATGCGGTTTTTTTTACACGGTTATTTTTACACGGTTTTTCGCGATTTACACGGTACGTTTTTAACGATTTCTCAACAACGATACAACCTATCGACTTGATTCCAATCACATTATCCGTTTCAAGCTATAGGTAATCGAATGGCATACTTTAAAAAAATCACAATTTTTGGTGTAAATACAGAAATTTTTAAAATATGTCTATATGGACCACAGCATACTATAATAACAAATGGCATCAAAATCCGATTTTTTAAAAGCATTTAAACATGTGAAAAATCAAAATCTCGTTGGTTTTTTTACAACGGTTTTTTTTTACGCGGTACGTATCCCCCGTATAAAAAAAGACCTGAGTGTACTCGATTATGACGACTGGGTTTGGGAAGAACGTTTATTTCATGAAAACAGTGATAAAATTATCACTTGTTATTTGTACATTGGACAATGCTTGATATTACCACTTGTTCAATAGTTTCTTGTTGAAAATAATCAGTCGGAAGCATTGTTATAGATGCGTGGAAATATGTCTGATCGATTGGTGATAAAACTACTGAAATTGGTCCAGGGTCAGCTGAGTTATTAATGTTCAAAATCTTTCATAATTTTGTTTCTTGTGCGATTTTAGGTTTTCACAAAGTGTACCCCCAGTATAGAAATTAAAGACGTAGTCCTATGTCAAAAAAAATGTGATCACTGGGGTAAAATTGACTGGTTGGTGATAGATAAAAAAAAAATCTTGATATTATTATTATTATTTAGCTTTATTAAGGAGGCTTTCAGCCTTGGGCTGGTTCGCCTCCAAAAAAAAAAATCTTGATAGCATTCTATTATGACACTCCAATTGTAGCTTTGACGAGTTTCTCTTTACAAAAAAGCAGATTTTAACTTTAAATTTTAATTAATTGATGTTCAATAACATTCAAAACCATAGTCGGGAGGAAATGCTATACTATTATCAACATGAAGCGATAAGTTATTAGCTAGAGTAAGTTCTGAAGAGGGTAGATTGAAATTACCGCTAAAGTACGGCAGTGTGAAAATTGAACAGAAGATGAATTTGAGCGATGGATAAAATAAAATACTAATCAAATTCTCACTCCTTTTCCCAACTTATACTTTGATGGGTGAGGGGATTCGAGGTATGTCCTAAAATACACAGGCAAAAGACTGCGCGTTTGACTTGCTCATGCCTGGGGCTGTGGACAAGTTCTAGCGACGTTTATCACTCCACATTATCTAAAGCATTTTCAGGCAATGGTGCGTTATAATGCAATGGCTTCACATGCTAGTGAGCCTTGTCGTTCGCAAACCCATGATTATTAGCATGTTGTAAACAGTTTTTCTCGTAGATACTCGTAGGTTAAAATTCACTTATCGCATAATTTGAGCAATTTTCGCCCTTTTAAGATGGTATTCATGAGTGTCCAATCTTGAAAATATATTTAACAAAAGAAAAACCCAATTAATTTCCTTAAACTTTGCAGTGCACAGTTTTTCAATCATACGCATGTTAATACTGGTACTTTATAAAGAATAACTTTTAAAACAAAGCGGTGCCGGTAGTGTAGTGATAAGCGTGATTACCTCTCACCCCAGCAGGCCTGGGTTCAATCCCAGTCGGCGCCGCCGGGATGTTCTGAGGCATAACATCTCTGATCACGGGAAGTAAAGCCGTTGGTCCCCGGTTCATGACTTGATGGGTCGATAGGTAGGGACCAGGTGTTTTTTTTTATACAGGGGGGAATCTGCTCACAGACACCTGAGAAGTAACTCAGGGTGTGGGGATGGAAGAATTTCACTCCCGACCCACTAAACCTTGCCCTGTGCGCTTGGCCCTTGACCTCCCCGGAACCGCCCGAAGGCATTACTTCGTGGGAGGGGCCGCTGTTGCGCTTTGGCGCTTCTCTAGCAATATTCTATCGATCTAGTCCCCCCCCCCTTGAATGGTCCTCGCGTCATAGCACACCACGTCCTCCTTAATGATAAGGCTGATTGGCATCATCCCTGCTATGACA